TTCACTTTCAGTTGTTTTTCCAGTAGAGTAAACTGATGTTTATATCCTTTTTGAACGTAAAAAAAAAAATAACAAGACCCTCCTTCCCAGGGCCCCGCCTAGTTTCCATATCTCATGTTGTACCATGTTCTCACTTTCTCTCTGTGCACTGATTACCCAGACCTTCTTAACTTCATTGCAGGCTAGTTTCTGCCTTAGGATTTCTGTTTGATTTTTCTTTTCTTCCTTTTGATCTTGGACACCCTTCTCACTGATATGTTTAGTCTGGTTCTGTTTCATCATTCCAATCCAAATTTAGAAATCACCTCTCCACAAAACCCATTTCCACCTAACTAAAATGCTCACCCAGACACACACACACACACACCCCACTCCATTACAATTTTATGAGTTAGTTATTGCTGAGTGACTTTATTTATTCTCACCTTACATATTGTTTATCCCTTGTGTTAAGAGTGTAAACGCCAATAAAAAATAAAAAGTGATTATCTCATAAACCACTGTATCCCAAGCACTTAGAAGAGTATCTGACATTTCACACACAGTCAGTAATTATACCTCAGTGAACAAATAAACCTGATAGTTAATGAAAATTGTTGGTGGGTATTATAAATTATAGCTAGTTATATATTGCACATGTACATTTCATACTTAAAAGTATAAGGACTGTGCTTTGTTTGAAATACTGTAACTGATATTTTAATTATTATTATCATATGTATCATATATATATAGACAGATTTTACTAAGAAAATAATAACAATGAAAAATCGTGCTTGACCTTAGGCTTCCCATAGACCTAGTGAGGAGAGGTCACTTAGAAAAACATCAGTGAGTTTCTAGTGAAAGACTTTCCACAGTAGGGTCTAGCAAAAAAAAAAAAAAAACATCCTTTGGATTTAGAAACCTAAATCTAGAAGGTAACAGTAAGAATCACTTTTCTGTAGTTAAAATAAAATAGGTTGATACAGTTTCTCTTATCCTATACTTGCAGCCATGAATAAATTTTGACTCATAGTGACCCTATAGGACAGGAGAACTTCTTCACAGAGTTTCCTAGGTTATAATCTTTAAGGAAGCAGATTAACACATGTTTCTCGCAGGTAGTGGCTGGTGGGTTCAATCCACCGACCTTTATCAGCCAAGAGGACCTAAGCACTGCCTCAACAGAACTTCTTTCTTGTGCCATAGAGATTATATAACTTCGAGATATAGATACTACATTCTAAAATATCTTGAATGCAGCATGAGTTACTCTTACCCTCTTTCTCAAAAAAGTAGTGGACAATTGTGGTCAAGTAGTGTCCTCCATCTGTATGCTGAGCAAATAAACTGTATATGAAGAAGAGTGTGTCATCAGGATTGGAGGATGACTCAGTTCCTAAGGCATTTGACTGCTAACCAGAGGGCTGGTGATTCAATCCCACCGGCCACTCTTCAGAAGGAAGATTGAGCAATCTACATCCATAGAGATACTGCCTTGGAAACCCAAGGAGAGATTGCTATGAGTCCCATTGACCCGCGAGCAGTATTATTATTTTTTTAATAGGTATATTACACAACCTCGCTTGCTGAAAGTGAAGAGGACATGCAGCGCTTACAGATGAAGATCAAATCCCACAGTCTTCAATATGGGTTACACTTGAACATAAAGAAAATGAAAATCCTCACAACTAGACCAATAAACAACATCATGATAAATGGAGAAAAGACTGAAGTTGTCAAGGATTTCATTTTACTTGAATCCACAATCAACACCTATGGAAGCATCAGTGAAGAAATCAAATGACATGCTGCCTTGGTCAAATCTGCTGCAAAAGATCTCTTTAAACTCGCAAAAAGCAAAAATGTCACTTTAAGCACTATGGTGAACCTGACCCATGCCATGGTGTTTTTAATTACCTCATATATATGGGAAAACTGGACAATGAGTAAGGATGACAGAAGAAGAGTTGATGCCTTTGAATTGTGGTTTTGGAGGAGTATATTGTATATACCATGACATTCCAGAAGAACAAATCTGTCTTGGAAGAAAGGCAACCAGAATGCTTCTTAGAAGAGAGGATGGTAAGACTTCATCTCAGGGACTTTGGACATGTTATCAGGAGGAACCAGATCCTAGAGAAAAGCATCACATTTAGCAAAATAGAGAATCACTGAAAAAGAGGAAGCTTGGTCAGAAAGAGACTGGAAACTCCCAAGGAAATGGCCCCAAGTCAACCTTCAGAACTAGTATTGGACTCACTCCCATGATTTATCTCTCAGCCAAACAATACACAGGCCTAAAAGTGGAAAAATTATACCAGGGAGATGCATTTCTGAGAAAAATCAACCATAGGTGTTCAGCAGGGCAGCATTTGCACAAACAGAAAGCTAGGAATACATAGCAAAGCAGGAATATATAGGCAAGAAGGACACAGGGAAAGGGTAAACACAAGTGGGAAGTGAAAGGGGGCTATTAAGTTGGGGGATTGAAATCAATGTCGCAAAAAAAATGCGTATGAACAGATGAGTGGAAAACAAATCCACCTTGTAAAATCACAATACAAATTAAAAAAAAAAGAAAAAGAAAAAGCTCCTTAATGTGATAGATTGACACAGTGGCTGCAATAATGAACTCAAATATAGGAACAACTGTGAAGATAGCAATGGACTAGACAGTGTTTCGTTCTGTGGTACATAAGGTCTCTATGAGTCAGAATCATCTTGACAGCACCTAATAACAACAACAAGTGGCCTCTGTATTAAATTGCACATTAGAGAACTGAGATTATGTCAGACTATGAGAATGTGTGCAAAGGTTAGTGGAAAAGCAAGAATAAAGTAGTCATCTGAAAATGAAAAAACAAAAACAAAAAATGAGAGGGATCCAGTCAGATGAAGTATCTGAGAAATGGGATTCCAGCAGAGTAGAGTAAGAACAAAAGCCATGGAGTGGGAATGCCTTGAATTGTCCAGAGACAGATTATAACAGAATGAAAAGAAGGAAAGATAGAAAGTAAAAGGTGGCCAGAGCTTTGGGAGAAAGGATGGAGGACAAAATGTATTGGAGAGGTAGTTATATGCAGGATAAGGCAGCAATATGGTTAAGCAGAGTACTCTAGTATCTTGAGTAGTTTTGTATGCTTAATAGATACCTCAGGGTGTTGTGTGTACAAGAGGTTAAAGTGAATATCAAGTGAGACACCAATGTCTTCTATAGGAGAAATTTGCTTTTGCCATGGAAACTAGTGAGCATTCAGAATTTGTTGTTTCATCCAAAGTTTCTTCATGGCATTTTTCACCTCTGCATTCCTCAGGGTATAGATCAAGGGGTTTGACATGGGTGCAACAATGGTAAAGGAAACAGACATTGCCTTGTCTATGGGGTAAGTGGCCACAGGTCTCATGTATAAGAAAATACATGGCACAAAGAACAAGAAAACCACCATGAGGTGAGAGCCACAGGTGGAGAGGGCTTTGCGCCGCCCTTCAGAGCTGCAAGTCTTCAAGGAGCAGAGAATGACCATGTAGGAAACAATGAGGATAAGGAAGATGGTTACACACATTACCCCACTGTTCAAAATGACCAAGAGGCCCAGGACTTGGGTGTCTATACAGGCCAGTTTCAACAATGGAAATAAATCACACATAAAGTGATCAATGACATTGGGACCACAGAAGGGTATTTGGTACATGAAGAGAAGCTGTATTGTTGCATGCATGGACCCCCCAAGCCAGGCACCTCCTAGTAACAGGAGGCATACCCTAGGATTCATGAGGGTCATGTAGTGCAGGGGCTTACAGATGGCCACGTAACGGTCATAGGCCATCACAATGAGAAGAATGATCCCCACCCCACCAAAGAAATGTTCTGCAAAGAGCTGGGCCATGCAGCCTTCGAGCGATATGGTAGTTCTCTCAGAAAGGGAATCCACAATCATCTTGGGGGCATTGACAGATGAATAGGTGGCATCCATGAGAGACAAGGAAGTAAGAAAAAAATACATAGGTGACCTCAGACTCTGACTCACAGTCATAGTTATCACAATGAGTAAGTTTCCCAACATGGTGGCCACATACATGATTAGAAACACAGCAGAGAATATTTTCCGCAGCTCTGGGTTCTTTGTAAGGCCCAAAAGAATGAATTCAGTCACATTGTTTGATTTTCCATTGACTGTGGTCTGATGTATGCACATAGCCATGAGCTGGAAAATCTGCAAGAGCAATATTTCTTTTACTTACTGTAAAATACTGATACGACAACATTTTCAATTCAATATTCTTCACCTGTGCAATTCAATGAGACCAATGACATTAATAGTGTTATGCAACCATCACCAATATTTATTGCCAAATATTCTATTACTACAAACAGAAACTCAATTCTTCCTAAGTAATGATTCTCCCTTCCTCCTTCTATCCTAAGTCTGGTAACCACTATTAAACTCTGATTTCTGTATATTTGCTTATTTTAGGTATATCACATTAGTCAAAAGACATACAATATAAGCCATATGCAGATGTAGTACTATTTTAAGTTTATAGTCATGGAGTGTGTCAGACATTTTTTGTGTCCTGCTTCACACTTTTGTGATCTATCTTTTTCTCCAACCATTGCTATCACAATAATCAGGTCATAATTATAGCCGGATAGTAGCTTGATCCTACAGATTTCCCCAACACCTTCTCTCACAAGCACATCTCTTGCTTTCTGTTCTTGCATCTTGCTGCCTGAGGTATTTTAGAGACCCTGCTATATTTTTCTGATGGAAACACACAGTTAGAAACATGAGGGAGTTCACTTCCTATAGGGAAACACTTTCCGTTAGGATTCAGGAGCCAGATTAACACTCTTGGGTTAACTTTCTTTCCTTCTCTGTTTCACTGTCCCCAGATCCTCCATTCTGTTTCCCAAAATAAACTGCCTACATAAAAGCTCTTATCTCAGCCTCTCCTTCTTGGGACTCAAACCAGGATGCTGACCTTCCTTTATCCCTAGGCATACCCAAGAACTTAGAAATTTTCATTCACTTATTTCACAAATTTATTGAGCACCTAGAACGTGCTAGTTGGAAAGACTACAAGACACATAGGTCATAACCCAAAGGATCTCTACTTATCAAGGTCAATTCACTGCTCCTTCCATTTCTTCCTTTTCAAATTGATTAGTATTGTTGTTAACATAATTGTTGTTGCTGCTATGTGTCACCGAGTCAGACCCCACTCATGGCGAACCCCCTTGGGTTTCTTAGGCAGTATCACTATGGAAGTAGATTGCCTAACCTTCCTTCCAAGGAGTGGCTTGTGGGTTTGAACTTCCAGCCTTCTGGTTAGCAGTCAAATGCCTTAGGCACTATGCTACCAGAACTCCTGTTACATATTATTAATATTCAATAAGTTTGTACTATGTCTCAGGCAGTGGAACATCCTATGAGATATTTTCTTCATCTTAGAAATAAGACACTGAAGTTTAAAGAGGTGAAAAGATGATACCATGGTCACACAAGTAATAAATACAGAAGTTAAATTCAAACTCAGTTTTTTTCTGGTTCCAAAATCAATTCTATTAACAGACCATATTGCTTCTCTTATGCTAATATCAAGTGTTCAATGTGTATGAAACACTGTTTCATGATACAATTTCATTTTCCTAGCAATCCAGTAGGATAGATGTGTGTTTCCTATATTCAACATGACAATTCTACAGTGAATAACATGTTCTAATTATGTATATTAATTATCCAATTCTGAACCTATTCATTACAATCATTGACCAAATTTCCAATTGTTTCTAATAATTTTCCAGATGTGTTGATTACAAAAACTATAATCTTAATTCTCTTACTCTGTTCCAAGAATACCCAGATTTATGATTTAATTACCACCATCTCTGTGTATATGCACAATGAGTGTCTTTCCTTGCATTTTTCCTTGTGAAGGAATGCTCTCACATGGGACAGAAGATTCTAAATATTAACCAAGGTATCAATAAATCAATTTGTATATTTTAATTCATTATGTGGTGGCAATGTGCTAGGCCTGTTATATGCATTAACTCATTTTCTTTTTTTTTTCCATATCACGCAAGGCAGGTACAAACATAAATCCTATCTTGAGGAAACTGAAGCTTAAAGACATTAAGTATCTCATGTAAAATGAGTGGGGGTTATGAATTCATGTGGACTTATTTTGAAGCACAAGTGCTAAATCATTATACTCTGCCCCTGAGAAAGTGACCAGCAGCCTCTGCTAACTAGATGTGATTGTTTCTCCAGCAAAGAACAAATAATAGAGTAAAAACACTGTCATAGGCAGCAAACTTCCCTCCACTAAGGGTATGTGAGCAAACGCTGTCTGTCACTTGATTGGAATATATAGAAGGCATAGGAGGAGCTATGAACAACTTCTCCTCTAAATACAAAAGACCCAATCTCAGCATTGCACCTGGCTCTTACTAAAATAGTAGGCAGCTGTCATGAGAGTTTTCGAGTCTACAATATGGACCAACCTAAACTTTTTTCATCTTTAGCCCAAATAATTCAAAAGTTCTTGTAAAGCTCTAATTAAATAGAAAGAACACATTCTTGAAAACCAAAATAGCTAGATTAATCCCAGGTTGTCCCTCCACTTCATTAGAATACCTTGTTACAATCCTTACCACGTTAGCTCTCAGCTTTCTTTTCCGGAGTGTGAGATGGTTGTGGTAGGTGATGGAATCTTAGGAGCTCAAAAGAAACATCTCAGGTACTCCATCTTTTCAAACATGCAGCCCAACTCATCTACATTCAGCGTTTACTCTTCCAAGTAAGATTTCCTTTGAGGGATCTCAGGTCTTGAAATCTTTTAAAACAGTATGCGTTAGAATAAATAAGGATGCCCTCTGTCTGAATGTCTTCATCTATCACAATTTCAATATGACAACTAGTGCACTCCTAACCTTCTCAACCTGACGTTGAAAGCCCTCCCTCACACAAGTCAACCAGCTATTTTTGTACCTCTTCCTCCTACTGCAGTCAGGCCTATCTCTCGCTGCTAGAACGCACAGCTCAGGGTGCTTCTTCTTGGGGAGAGGTCGTGGGTTTAGAGTGAGCTGACTTACCTTTCCTTCCAACTAGACACTTAGAAACTAGTTGAATCGATTTCAACTCACAGTCACCCCATGTATGTTAAAGTAGAACCATGTTCCACAGAGTTTTTAATGGCTGCTTTTTGGGAAGTAGATCAGTAGACACCTGTGTGTTTCTTCCTAGACACCTGTGTGTGGGCAGCTGCTGAAAGTGTTATCTTTTGAACCATCCAGGGACTCCATCAGGTACTTATTGACTGCATAATATTAACTTTCCTCACCTTCAAATCCTGCAAAAAAATAAATAAATAAAAAGATGGAACAGTAATTAAAGCCAATATTTGTCAAATACTTATTATTTAAGGACATTGTACTCAGAGTATTATGATCTAGTCATTTAATACTCACAAAAACCACAGGAGATTAGGACTATTCCTATCATTTTCTGAAATCCCAATCTGACTTTCTCATGCAGTGGATGGGGCTCAGGAACTCTGGAGATACATGATCAGGTTCACAGCACAGGCTATCAACCACTATGTGTACAGCCTTCCAAGAATTTTATATCCTGTCTCACTATCCTGTACGAAGTTCAAAGGAAGTAAAAACAAAACAAAACAAAAAAACACATTCACTGCTGCCTAGTCAGTCCCAACTCATAGCAACCCCTCCTTGGGTTTCTGAGGCAGTATCTCTATGAAAGTAGATTGCCCAGCCTTTCTTCTGAGGAGTGGCTGGTGGGTTTGAACCGCCAGCTTTCCGGTTAGCAGTCAAGTGCCTTAGGCACTATGCCACCAGAGTGCACCAGAGGATGAAAAGGCATGGAATTCTTTTGGAGAACACTACTCAAATATTCATCATGATTATTTCCCATTCGTATAAGCTAACACTTCCTGCTGCCTTTGATAGATTCTGTAACATTAAAACCCACTGCCATGTAATGAATTCCAACTCATAGCTACCCTATAGGACAGAGTAGAACAGTCCCATAGGGCTTCCAAGGCTGTAATCTTAAAGAAGCAGACTAACATATCTTTCTCCCGTGGAGCAGCTGGTGGATTTGAACCACCGATCTTTTTGCAAGCAGCTGAGAAGTTTTATCATTGCACCACCAGGGCTCTTTTCTGTACCATTACTCTCTCAAAATTCTGTTTTATTCCCATCAGTAACATGTATTAAAGAATCATTTTCTGGCATTCTCATATATTATCAATCCTGATTATATTCCACAAACTATAAGGTGAAATATAGTATCACATTTAATTTGCATTCATTCAATTATTCATTCAAAGTGTTTCATTGATAACAAATATATTATTGGTATCCAGATAAATCTGATTAAATACAATGTAATATCTAATATATATCTCTATAAAGAGATTTATTGTCTATACACAGCTATACATGTCAAACTAACGAGAATAAATTGTTAAGCCCTTGCATTTTTTGTACTTTGCTGGCACTTTATACATTTATCTCATTTAATCCTCACATCTGGCAATGATGAGGCACACTTTATGACTGATGACCAAAAACAACCAAACTCACTGCCCTCGAGTCAGATCCGACTCATAGAGACCCCTACTTGGGTTTCTGAAGAGGCATCACTATGGAAGTAGATCGTGCAATATTTCTTCTGAGGAATAGCTGGTCAGTTTGAACCACCAGCGACTGAGGAAGAGCAAAAGAATTAAATTGCTCAAGGTCGTATAGTTAGTAAGTGATAAAGTCTGGATTTGAATCCAGGAAATCAGCTTTATACCTGGGTTATGTTTCCTGCGTCTGAATTTCTTATGGAGATAAATAATTTATCTCATTAAATCCTGGATAGCAAGAATGTGCTAGCTATGTATTTAGTGATTGACCTTGGTCCTTATTTTTAATAAGCACCCAGTGGCCCTGTGTTCTTGGGCAGCTTTGTGCCCCAAGCATATGCCTCATCCATAAGAGCTTTAAATAGACTATTTCTGTGGCTATGTCTTCTTAATTCACCTTGGTTTTCTTGAGAAATGAGAACTGGTTGTTGGAGATGGAATTATCTCTTGTAGCACTTCCGTAGGGTGGAAGCTATTAAACCATTTTAGATACAAAAAAATAATGTTTAGTTGGAATACTTCTGTGGGAAGGAAAAGGTTATTCCCTAAACAAACTTTCTTAATTAACTTCTCCACCCTGTTCCTTAGAAAGCCCTAGTATCGTCCCCAACACATTACTATAATCATCCCTTTGAGTAGAGGTACTAACAAATAGATATGCAGGTTTTTATAGTGATTGAGAAATATATTTTAAAGATTTCAACTCACATGTACATTAATAATCAAAACCAGAAATATGAAGTATTATTAACAAACTAAAACAGAAAAAAATAAAAATAATGCATAAGTTCCCCAACCCCCCAGAGTCTGTTAGAAAAATTAAGATTATAGAGAGAGAGGGAGGGAGAAGGAAAGAGAGAGAGAGGGAAGGGGAGAGCAAGCTCTGGTGGCACAATGCTAGGTTGCAAACCACTTCAAACTCGCCAGCCTCTCCCTAGGAGAAAGATGTAGCAGTCTGCTTCTGTAAAGATTATACTCTTGAAAACAGTATGAGGCATTTCTAATCTGTTCTATAGGGTCCTTGTGAATCAGAATCAACTTGATATCAAGGGTTTATATATATATATATATATTTGTTGTTGTTATGTGCCGTCAAGCCAGCCCCGACTCATAGCGACCCCTCCTTGGGTTTCTGAGGCAGTATCACTATGGAAGTAGATTGCCCA